TAATCACCTCTGATTGGCCATTGCGTTCCAGAAATCAACAGCTGAGTCTGTGATTGGCTACATTGCGCAACCTTTTAAACGTGTTATAAATAGAAACTACGGCTAGCTTGCGCATGTCAATCATTTTAATGTTAATATTAGTTCTTTTTGCTTTTGTGCAACAGATAAATAACAATTTGTTTTAAGTGCTTTTAGATTTCTATTTTGCGGGAGTCCCGCGACTCGTTTTATTCTCCGCCACACACGAGTCTCTTCCCGCCCGCACCCGCACTCGCCCATCAAGAGTTGTCCCGCGCCGCACCCTGTTACGTTGGGTCCCGCGGTCCTCCCGCAGGAGTGCAGGCCTCTACCCTGAAGGACTTGATTAGCTGGATCAGGTGTGTTTGGAGTTGAATATGAACTCTGCTGGGCTGTGGTCCTCCAGGAACTGAGTTTGACATCACTGATCTAAAGCCACTTGGCCTCAATTTGTTTGCCTCTCCTGGCCCCCTCGTTTATATCTTCCGGTGTCCTTTTCAGAAACACTGGATCCACACGAGTTCCTCTCAAGGTTCCTGACACCATCACCACATGGGAGACTGAGGCGTTCTGCCTGTCCTCCAAAGGTTTCGGCTTGGCTCCTCCAGTTCAGCTGACCGTCTTCCAGCCCTTCTTCCTGGAGCTCTCCCTGCCTTACTCCATCATCCGTGGAGAGTCTTTTGAGCTGAAGGCCACAGTCTTCAACTATCTGTCCAAGTGCATCATGGTCTGGATTCATATTTATTAGTGTAATAGGTGTTTGTGTAATATCTAATTCTGTTAGAGGTGTGCAAGCTGATGGTGTCACCTTGCTCTGAGCTTTCAAGTAAGATGTAGCCTATTGTGACTCTGTTAGAATTAGCAATGTAAAATACAGGGCCACCTTGCATGAGTTTTGTATTCTATCAAAATTAAGCAATCTCTCATGTGCAAGAATGATTTCAGTGAGTCTTTATTTCTGTCACTGTTATCAACTGACCACCACACTAAATATGGAAAACTTCAGTAAACAGCCGTCCCTGACAGGCCTAAACCAGCTAAGTTACTAGCGCAAAAACTCCATCCCAGAAAATGAAGCATGTCAATATCACACACCCTAAATGGATCAGTAGAGGAAAATAGTCTTGTCTTTACTGAATGTGCACTAATGTAATTCATTGGCAGGTTAAAGTGACTCCAGCTTCTTCCTTGGACTTCAGTCTTAGACCTTTCAATGAGCCCTATTCATCCTGTCTCTGTGCCAATGGGAGAAAGACCTTTAAATGGATTCTCTCCGCTTCTGTTCTCGGTCTGTTGCACTGTTTGTCTTTGTAAATTGAGGTGTACGGGAGTTGTTGCTCACTTCCTCTCTGTACTATAGGATCTGTAAATGTGACTGTCAGTGCTCAGGCTGAACAATCCCAGGTTCGATGTGGCACTGAAGTTGTGACTGTGCCGGTGAGAGGACGCATTGACGTAGTTACTCAGTGTCTTCTTGTTCTGGTAAGTGTTAACCAGCTTTCTGGAGTTTGCTCATGGAGCTCATGATGCTTTACTGATGTGGTGTTTTATTTTTTATTTTTTTTTATAGCCTGAGGGAGTTGAAAGGATCTTCACCCAGAGTTGGTTATTGTGTCCAAAGGGTTTGTTTGCACTCAGTGACTTTCTAAATGCGTTCTCCCTGTACCAGTAAACTGTAACCTAGCGCTCTGTGCTGATCCGTTCTGTTTGGTCCACAGGAAGTGTCCTTTCAGAAGACTCGTCTCTGACGTTTCCAACAAATGTGATCCAGGGATCAACCAAATGCTCAGTTTCAGTCCTTGGTAAAGCATTTCATTAAGGGGAAATGGACACGGCGACGTTCAGCTAAATAACTTTGGTTTCTGATGGCTTTTTGGTTTGACCTCATTTTCTTCCTCTTAGGGGACATAATGGGTCGTGCGCTAAAGAATCTTAAGGACTTGCTACAGATGCCATCTGGCTGTGGAGAACAAAATCTGATCATTCTTGCTCCCAATATTTACATCATACAGTTCATTGGAGTGATTCTTGACCAAGGTTTTTTTTTTTTTTTTTTTTTTAAACAGGATACCAAGGACAACTGAACTACAGGCACAGTGATGGTTCATACAGCACGTTTGGTTACGGTGCATCCAATACATGGTGTGTTTTCATGCTGTTCTTGTATTGTGCATCGTTGAATTGGGTTGTAATGAGACTTTTCATGGCCAGGTTGACCGCCTTCGTCATGAGGTCTTTTGGCCTAGCAAGGAGTTTCATCTTCATTGATCCCAGTGTCCTCCAGAGCGCAAAGGATTGGTTGATCAGCAAGCAGGGTTCAGATGGCTGTTTCATGCAACAGGGAACTCTGTACCACAATGCCATGAAGGTGCGTGTTTCTTTAAATGTGCCATAACGAGTCAGACCTCTGATCATAGTCATTATGCTGCTCCGTTTTAGGGTGGTGTTGGTGATAACGTGACCATGACGGCCTACATTGTTGCATCGCTGCTTGAACTAGATGTCCTTGTCACGGTAAAAATATGCCTACCAGTAGTTACACAAGCTCCTTGAAGATGACTTTCTGGTTGTAGCCTAAAATTTGCTTTGCTTTCAGGATCCCATCATTACCAATGCTCTGTCTTGCTTGAGGCCTGTCGTTGGGAACGTGGGAAACACTTACGCCACGGCTCTGCTTGCCTACACCTTCAGTCTGGCTGGAGAGACCAGCACTAGAGCACAGCTTTTAAATGCCTTGGACAATGTTGCCATTACTGAAGGTGAGGTTCACTAGTCTCTTGTTTGAGATGTTGTTCAGGGTCGTTGGCATCAACTTTCTGTCCTCTGTCTTGTCCTAAGGCAATGAGCTCCACTGGTCTCAGACTTCATCTGGTGATACTCTGGCGGTGGAGATCAGCTCATATGTGCTGCTGGCTGTTCTCTCTGTACAGCCTCTCACGACCGCTAATCTGGGCTATGCTAACCGCATTGTCAACTGGCTTGTGACCCAGCAGAATCCTTATGGAGGCTTTTCCTCCACCCAGGTGACTGACTACCAAACATGAGCACAGACCGCCTATCTGAGTGGAGTTTTTAATCTGGTGCTTATTTTTAGGACACTGTCGTGGCTCTTCATGCTCTGTCTCTGCTCGCCGCTGAAGTGTTCAGCCTGGAGGGCTCCAACACCATTACTGTACAGTCGTCATCTGTAGCAGGAGAGCTTTATAATTTCAATGTGAATCGGGACAACCGACTGCTGTATCAGGAGAAGCTGCTGAAGAATGTTCCTGGCAGATATAGTGTTAGAGCGAAGGGGTCCACCTGTGTGTCTGTGCAGGTCTGTACCTTCACCTGCTTAACTTCTACCTCTATGCTTGTCCCAGTTCTCCTTGTCATGTTTAGTTTTGTACTCCCAGGTTGCATGTTTCCACAACATCCCGACACCCATTAAAGCTTCCAGAACACTTAGCGTTGAAGTGAAGGTGGCAAGAGACTGCAAAGTGCGTGGAGCCGATCTCATGTTGAACATCACTGTGAAGTAAGAACCGCTTTGACTGTTCTGTTTGAACCTTAACGCCTCTTTACACAGCTGCGCTAAGGCTGCTCTGTGCCTGCTCAATTCTGTGACCGTGTCACATGAAAGCCAGTCTGAATGTAGTTCTGTCCCACCTCTGCCCCTAATATCAAAGCATACAATTGGAATTTCTGCATAATGCTGCTCCGAAGTGGAATAATGGCATTTAAGCCATTTTTGTAGATGCACCCAATTGCTAGTTTATTTTTTATTTCTTTAACTCCTCATTTAGGTACAATGGTGCAAAACCAACTACTAACATGGTTATCGTGAACATTAAACTCCTGTCGGGGTTCACAGCAGATACAGCACTGGTTCGTATGTTTTAAGATGACTTGTTTGTAAAGTCCCAAGATGCTTGAAGCCGCTTCAGATGTTAATGGACTCTTCCTCTCAGATTGGATCCCCACCAGATTCATTTGCTCCACTAGTGCAGCGGGTTGATTCTGGAAATGACCATGTGCTTGTGTATCTGAAAGAGGTGAGCTGTGCACTGGGTATGTTCTCTATCTGCCCCCTTCATGTGTGCTGTATGTGCCTATGTACTTCTCTTCATCCCTTCCATCTCGTAGGTTCCCAAGGGCATCCCCATGACCTACAGGCTACAACTGAAACAGGTTCTTGCAGTGCAGAATTTTAAGCCAGCGGTCGTTGAGGTTTATGACTACTATCAGCCAAGTATGCATTCAGTGGCTCGTGCTTCTGGCTGAATTCCCTGTAGAACATGCGTGTCAAACTAACTTCCTGTTCCTTTCACCTTCAGGTGACGTGTTTGAGACCACATATATGTCTCCCTGTCCATGATTGTTCCATTTCTGGCTATAGGGTGCATGAATGAAATAAACTTAAATATTTACTTAAATTAGTCCTTGTTTGCCTCTTTTGTTGAACATCTGACATGTTTTGAAGCTGGACATCTCAAACTTGCAATGTTCAAGTTTTTTTTTTTTTTTTTTTTTTAGCCCTGTGATCTGGGTTTCTTACATGGTTAACCGACTGGGGTCGACAAAGGTGCCGGCGGGAGCACTTGTATATTTCCTAGATGACCGAATAACTTAATGCTTTGTCACCTTTGATTGGACCCAAGTAATGCATCACTTGAATCTGTAAAGGGTCTACTTTTATTTGTGTATACTCACCATATCAACAAAACTGATCTTATAAAATAAAGAAAACAAATTGTGCACTCAGTCTTCACGGTCTCGGTGGAGTGCTTTTCGAAACTTGACACTAAAATGAAAACCCGGCAAATACTTTACATACAGACATGAGAAACGTATCTATAGAAAACTTGATGGGTGTACTCTTAAATGAACTAACTCTTACCAAAAACATATGTTCTGTGATCAAGTAATCCATATGAAACTAACGAAAGGTCCAGTTTTCCCAGTCTAAACTTCTCTCGAAGATCATGCGCCAATAGTGCTATTGATATTCCAAATGTCCACGTGAGATGTGCAACATGTAAATACCCACATCACCATAAACAAAGCAGCAACCTGTTGTTCTTGACACTTTTCATTTTTGATAGACGCTGAGAGGAATGCACTTTGTTTACCTCGCAGATAGAACGTGAGCGTGGCTGGAGCCAGCGGAGGAGATCTTTCAGGCAGAGTAAGTAATGTTTCTTATTTGCATTAGATGATGTGACAGACTTGAGTGCTTACTAGTTGGAGTTTTCTGAAACTATAATTCCTGACTAATGTGAAATCGAGCGCAACATTTTGAAATATGATTTTGCTATCTTTCATTACGTCTAAATGTTGCACAGCATGATGGTTTTATGTTCTATAAACAATACTATATAAGTGTTTAGACAATATAAAAGTAATGTCTAAATGTTTAGACCAATCATTACTGTGAAATAAGCTGTCTGCAAATATCTGTTCAAACATGTGCATAATTTAGTTTCTCAGATATAGAATGTCGTTTTTGTACTGTATGAGAATACATACAAAGCATGTGTGTGTCTGATATAGAATCACGTGGGCAATATTAGTGATTGCTAATGTAATATAGTTGCTCCTGATAGTCCTATCAACATGATCACTTTTCTTTTT